ATTTTAAGATCAAACTAAAAAAATTTTATACACTTTTATTAAATAAAAAAATAATTGCTACAAAAATAATTTCAAATAAAAAAATTTCATATAAATAAGGAAAGATATAAGTTAAATATATTTACAAAATAAATAAAAATTTTACAAAAATTACACTAAGTAGTATTATTTAACTTAAAAATTTTACTTCCCAAAATGTCGTTTTGAAGATCAAAATATTTTCAAAATTGTTACAAGAGTCAAACATACTTTTATAAAAATAAAGGAACACAAAAGAGATTGAAAGAAAGATGGTAGAGATAATTTTACCATCTTTATTACTTCTTAGATTTTCCTTTTTAACATTTTTTTTTGAACTGAGAAACTTGAGGATGAAGGAGTGAGTGTGTGGTTTTAAACTCAATATTTTGACTTACTAAACACCATCTCTCTTGAGAGCCGGTGAATATGCCAATCGGTGATGGACCTTGTTTAACATTTTAATATATTCAAAAAAAAAAAAAAAACACCACTTCCTCCAACTAAATAGGGGCTAAAATAAGTTTAAAAAATTGTTGTGATTTAACGTTTGAGGAGATTCTTCTAGACCTTCTTTTTTTTTTTTTTCTGTTTTCACTTTTCTTGTTGGGGGGATTGGAACAACTATTAAGGTTTGTTTGGTTGAAGGGAAAATTTTTTTCTTATAATGTTTATATATATATATATATATGTTTATAGCTTAATACCATAATAAAAGACAATGAAAGAAAAGTAAAAATAGTACTTAATATTTATTTTTTATATAATTTTTAATTAATAAAATTTTCTTCTTACATTTAAAAAAAAAAATTCCAGCCCTTTTATGTGGGATTTATTTGCTAACTTTCTTATAAAATTTTCATTCATCATTTTATTGGCAAATATAGAAAAGTTACTAAATTAATAAAATTCTAACAAAATTCATCAATTTTTTATAAAGTATTTTTCAACATTTTATATAGGTTTTTTTAATTTATGTCCTTAGGTTAAGAGTATTTTTTTATTATAAATTTGTATAAAAATATAAAAAATGACATTAATTTTAATATCATTCTTACTAAGTAAATTTAATTGAATGATTAATAAACTAAAAATTAACTTTTATTTTTTAAATACAAAATTATTAAAAAAATACTTATTACACTTTTAATTTATGTTCCTAAATATAAATTAAAAAATTCTTTTATATAATACCTTTTCAACATTTTTCAATAAAAAATTTTTTACTAAAATTAATCTCTAATTAATCAAACTCAAAAAAAGAAATTAACAAAAACTTAACTAAACTAATATTTATTAAATTAAAAATCTTGATTTAAAATAAAGTTTAAGATATTTATAGCTTGTTAGGTTACTAACTTCTACAACCAAAAAAATATAATAATCAGACCTAAAGAAGAAGACAGTGGAAGATTTGTCCGTGAAGACTGAACCCCCGCCGTCCTCGGTAAGAAATGTAGCGAACCAATTGGACAGTTAAATTATTAGTATTTGAAATTAACAAAGAAGACGAGTCAACGACACATATTTCTCCCATTTTACTCTTTGGACGCCGGGACCAGAACGGTCTGTCTCCCACCGTCCGAAGTTTCAAAACGACAGAGATCCGACCCTCCCACTCCATCTCCGCATCTCTCTCCGGTCTCCCCTCGCCGGTACGTTTGCTCTCCCACCTTCACTGTTGAAGCAGTTACTCTCAACTTCCAAATTTCTTCTACTGTGTTTTTTCTTCAGTTCAATTTCTTATATTTAGAAACATTTCTCTATTTCCAACGTTGATGTTTCTGTTCTCGTAATTGTTTGCTTAAGTTAGCTGCAATGCATTTGGATCTGTTTGAAGTCTGCATTTTTTTAATTTTTTTTTCAATAATTTGGGGGTATATATTTGCCTGAGTTTCACACTAGACTAAGAATTTGGCTTCCCTGGAAATAAATTATGTAAAGAAGAATAATTCTTTTTCTTTTGAGTTTGAAGATCATGTTAAATACGGTATGTTAGATAAAGGATATAACAATGAAGTTGAGATGAAAAATCGTTTTTTGTCCTTCTTAGCTATTCTTTTTTTTTTTTTTTTGGCAAACAATTAGATCAGTAAAGGCTATTCTATGTTTACCTTTCGAAATCGAATGGGGATTATAGGAGCAATTTAATAATTTAGTTGAAACATCAAACTTTTGCAACTTCTTTTAACTTTTTTTTTTTTTAATTTTTTATTTTTAAGTTAGGTTGGTTGTTGCTTGATCAATTGTATTTGGGATAAGCTGTTAAGCGATGTGGGGTCTTTCTTCCCTTTTTTTTTTTTTTTTTGGATAATAGATGTTGGGTCTTTGGTTATTTAATTTAATTCCTCTTATATTATAGATGTTCATACACACAACTGGGATCTTTTAGGTTGATTACCCATTAGAGTTTTGTATAGCTGAAAGCTTTCTGCTTTTTTGGTCATTGAAAATATTATTGCCCCCTTCAAAGGATAATTAACTACTTCCTCCAGTTTGACCAATTGGAGCAGAATGGCTTGAGCTCTTTTCTTGTATGAGTTGTTGTCCAGTAACAACTTGTGGGAAATAATTCACTTCATTTAGTGCTGTGGAAACTAATGGAAAACCACTAGTTACTCAATGTGTATGCGCCACCTATCTCAAGATGAACTGGTTGTAGTTTTTCAAAAATTAATGGGGCAACACCACGCTGAAAAGTAAAATGAAGCCTGCAATCCAAATTTCATTTTCTAGACTTTCTTGGGGGTGCACTTGTTTTTTGTGTTTCGTTGGGATTGATTTGTTATTTCTTAAATTTTCAATGCTGTACTCACTGTATTTTACTTGCAAAATTAGCTACTCTTTAGCTGACTATATTTTTAGAATTCTTCTACAGCTTGATGGTCCTATGCCAGAAGCTTAATGAAGAACATTGCACTGTCATTGCTGCTTGTTACACAGTACTTGAGTTCTCATTCATGATTCATTAGGCCAGAAGATCATACTTGGAAACCTTGATGGTTGGTTCAGCCAAAGATCTGGCTGAGAGATCTTAAGTCCTGGGAGTCAAATGATTATTCAACAGTTTGCATCTCAAAGTGATGAATGTCATGTGATAAACTTCACATTCTTTGTCCTTGTTTACTACCTAAGCCTTTTGAATTTGCTTACAGAATTAAAATTTGATGGAGCAACTTGCATTTTGATCGTCAGTTGGTGGCAGACTGTTCTTATACCCATTTTGGAAAAAGGAGGCAAAAAATTGTGATGCAACTTTATATGAATCAGAATGAAGAGATGGTATGGTGGTGTTCTAATTGCATCCTTGTTCATGTTGCTGGTCCTGAGATATGGTATCATGAAAAATCGTATTGGGGAAAGTTTTTTGAATAGTCCGTTATCCTTCAATGGAAGTAATCCTCTTGAATGGGTGCGTGCTACTGGTCCACCAGCAGTTCAAAATCCAGAGAATGGTTCTCAAGTGATTTCAATTGATGCCATAATTTTAAGGTTATTTGCTCGTAAGAACTTCTCCAGTGAAGAGCAACAATCTTTATTGACTTGGAATTTGTTGAAACACCTAGTTAATCATTCTCACTCTTTACCAAGTGGACTAGAGGCCATTAAGGAAGCTGCAAGTGCATGGGGTAGCCTCATGGCTTCAGTTCAACAGCAAAGACTTGGTTATACAAATGAAAGTTCATCTGGAAGAGGAAAAGGGAAACAGTGTCCCCATTTTCTTAATAAAATGAATGCCACTGAACTTGATAATAACGGTTATAAGTTGGGGGTCCCTTGTGGCCTCACTCAAGGTTCTTCCATCACATTTATTGGTGTTCCAAATGGTGTTCTTGGTAACTTTCGGATTGACTTGACAGGGGAAGCACTTCCAGGGGAGCCTAATCCGCCCATTATTTTGCATTACAACGTTAGGCTTCATGGTGATAAGATAACTGAGGACCCTGTAATTGTCCAAAACACCTGGACTATAGCTCATGACTGGGGTGAAGAGGAGCGTTGTCCATCCCCTTCACCTGAAAACAATAAAAAAGGTATCTTTAATTTTTTGAATTTGCTAAATAAATGTAATGAAGACTGGTATATGCCTCAGTAGCTTGGTTTATATTTTATTAAGGTTTAGTGTATTGTCCTATAATTTTTTAATTGTCGATTTGCATGCTGATGCATACACTGCATATGTGCTACATGCATCCTGTATAAGGCAACTGGTTCATATTGGGTCCTGCCATAATTAAAACTTTACTCTGTAATGTATGCAAAGAGTATAGACTGGATCTGTTGACTTTGATGCTTAATTAATTAGTCATTCATCAATCATCAAGTACCAAAAGTAAAGGAAAGGAAACTTTTTTGTTTAGTGATGTTTTAACTAGCTTGGGTTTGTTTATTGAAATGCCTTGTCTTCAAAAGCCTCTGTCCATTGAAATACCTTATCTTAATAATTCCAGTAGACAGAATATTCTATAGATGACTTCAAATTACTTCTGCTTTGTTAGCTTTTTACTTTATTATTGTTGTTTATATTTCCTGCTGAGGAAACTGGTTGAATTTCCAGTGGAAGAGTTGGACCAGTGCAACAAGATAGTAGGTAAAGATGATAACAAAGTGGCTACCAAGCATTCCAACCATTCAAGGAGGTTCTCGATGGGACAAGGAGGATCTAATGGAAGAAGATATTTCCCTTTTCAGCAAGGCCACCTTTTTGTTGCAACTCTTAGAGTAGGATCAGAGGGACTGCAGATGACAGTTGATGGAAAGCACATCACATCATTTGCTTTTCGAGAAGTAATTTTCTTTTACTAGTTCTCCTGTTGTGCATACAAATTTGATGAAGACTTAATAGTGTTTTTGTTTTTTATTATTTTTTTTAATTATTGTTTATTTGGCTGGGTTATATCCAGACATTGGAGCCATGGCTTGTTAATGAAGTTAGAATCTCAGGAGACCTGAAACTAATTTCTGCCTTGGCTAGTGGTTTGCCTACCTCTGAGGATTCTGAGCATGCAATTGATCTAGAAGCAATTAAATCGGTCCCTCTATATTATCAAAAGCCAGTGGATCTTTTTGTTGGTGTTTTCTCTACAACTAATAACTTTAAGCGACGGATGGCTGTTAGGAGAACATGGATGCAGTATGATGCAGTTCGTTCTGGTGCAGTTGCAGTGCGCTTCTTTGTGGGTTTGGTAAGCTGTGCATGTTTAATAGTTTTTGTGATTTGTCTCTCTGGAAGTTATTACAGTGGTGATGCCAAGAGTCTTTTTGTTACTATTTTGAAAAGTGGGGAACCAATTAGAAAGCACATTGTCAATGCTGTTCTGGTGTTAGGAGGCATTGTCATACCTACAGATAGCTGGTAGTGCTTTAATAGCAGTAGAAGATGTACATGATGGCTTCATTATGGAGTTCAGATTCCATTGTCTTGAGTGACTTTTATGTGCAGGAAATTTTTGCACAAATAGCTTTCTTCTGGTGCTCACCAATACCATAAGATGTTTATGGAGGTCTCCGCATTGAATTTGTCATTAATTTATGCTTCCATTAGTGGAATTTGTATGGTCACTGGAGTGACAAAATGTACATGTGTATTGTATGGAAACAGAGTTTGAGATCTAAGTAGTTTTTGTTGTGTGAACGCATTACTGACCAAGTTTGATATATGCAACAGCATAAAAACCAAATAGTGAATGAGGAACTATGGAATGAGGCGAAGACATATGGAGACATTCAGTTGATGCCTTTTGTTGACTACTACAGCCTCATCACCTGGAAAACTTTAGCAATTTGCATCTTTGGGGTAAACTCTTGTCTCTTTTCCTACAAAAGGGAAAACTGTCACCCTGCCTTACTGATGTCATCTTGTCAACAGACAGATGTTGTTTCAGCAAAATTTGTTATGAAGACAGATGATGACGCATTTGTTTGTGTTGATGAAGTGCTGGCTTCATTGACTAGGATCAATGTGACTCATGGATTGCTTTATGGACTCATAAACTCAGATTCCCGACCTCATCGCAATACTGATAGCAAATGGTATATTAGCTCTGAGGTAAGTCTGAACTCATTTCCTATATAGTCCAGATGGCTCAAATTTACTGGATAATAAGATCTGAGGAAAAGAAACTCTGAAAGAATGTACAAACATAGATTAGTTTCACGTTATGTTTGATAAAAAAATTATTAGATAGCCATGTGCCATAAAAGTTATGTCAATGTCTAGTTTCTTTGCAAGGCCATTTCAGGTTGTGTGTGCATTTCTTCTGTTTTGTCTCTCTTACATAATCCATATTCCCCTGGTCATTTCACTTTATGCAGGAATGGCCTGAAGAAACTTATCCACCTTGGGCACATGGTCCTGGTTATGTTGTTTCCCATGACATAGCAAATGCAGTTTACCAGAAGCATAGGGTGGGGCTGTTAAAGGTATCACAAGGACACTACTCATTTTACTTTTCTCATCTTCTCCTGCTGCATTCTCTTAGATTGTTTCCTTTTGGCAGCACTCTTTTATATTGTTTCCATTCCCTGCCAAGCATGGGAAGTTCTTTAAATATGCATTCTATCATCCCTTGGGAGTTGGGACATTAGTTTTTTTACCTTTCCACATCTTAATGAATAGTAAGTGCATTGTCTAAACAGATGTTTAAGCTAGAAGATGTAGCAATGGGAATATGGATCGCAGATCTAAAGAAGGAAGGTTTAGAAGTTCGATATGAGAAGGAAGGGAGGATTTTTAATGAGGGGTGCAAAGATGGGTATGTTGTCGCTCACTACCAAAGTCCTAGGGAGTTGATGTGTCTCTGGCAGAAACTTCAGGAAACAAAACGGGCTAGATGCTGTGGTGATTGATAGATGATAAACATTAAGAGATGCTTGAGGAATGTGATAGTTTTAGATGCTGATGATGATCCATGACCACAGTTACTTGCATTTTATCCCCAGCATTTTCTGGTGCTGCATGTGATATGAAGAGAAATAAAGCATGACATTTCCATCTTTGGTAGATTTCTACTAATAAGGATTGATAAAATTTGCGGGCGTAGGAGGGGTTTTTTATGTTCTTCCCATTTTTCCAGAATTTTATGCTGTGGGTAGTTTCTATTAGTGATAATTGTTGTATAAATAGCTATTTTTAAAATTTTTTAATGCAAATATGGTGGTATTAGCTGAGACCTAAGATTAGGAAGGATGTCATGTAGGAAAGGTAGATTGATGCCTTGTATTTTTGTTTAAAAACAGCTAATTTGAGAGTTTCGGTATAGTAGATTTTAGAAAACTCTGTTTCAAACAATTTCAGTTTGTAGTAGAAAAGATTTCAAAAGCTGCGCCGAACAAGTATTGTATTTCATTTTTCTCATTCTTAATATTTTCGGGCTTTTTTTTTTTTTTTTTAAGGCTCATAACTTCATGGTTACACTTAAAAGGAAAATTAGCTGCTGAACACATCTATAGCAAAAATTGATTTTAACCATAAATTAAAAAGAGGAAACTTTTCGTTGAAGTTTTGGGGAAATAGGAAAAGGAAACTAGATGGTGCCCTTCAGTTACTAAACAAGAAATAATATCCAGCATTTGAAGCCAAAAGCAAAATTATTAAATGATATCCACCTCTTATAATTTTATTTTATTTTTCATTTTTGAACTTAAGAAATTACAGGGGATACGGATGGGGCATTTTACAAGGCATGGTTGAGGCTGGAACCTCCAACCCTGCCATCTTCTCCCACAAGACCTCTTATAACTCTATTATTAAAAGGCGAGGAGACTACATAGAATTTTAGTTGCATTATTATTCTGGACAGACCAAATGGAGGGGCAGGATAATGTGATTATACATGAACTGAATTATATCTCTAGTCATTTCTGTTGAAATTAAAAGTAATAAATTTGGCACTTGCAGTGGTAGCTGCATTGGCAGTGCACCCCATAATGACATGGCTCCAATCATGGTTAAAGTTGCATGGATCACTTTGCATTTAATATTCCCCCTTCCCCAAATTAACCAATGTAAAAAAGATAATAATAATAGAAGATAAATTTGAATAGTGTGATATACGACTAGTTAGTAATTTAACTTAAATCCTAACTATGCGCACAAAATTAGAACAAAAACACAAACAATTGGCATACATTTTATAGCACGTCTTCCATTCATATTTTAGACTAACATGGTTAAGATGATAATCTACTTCAAAGGGATGTCTTGAAGGATAAATAGGCTATTTGGATTAGTTTTTTTAAAACAATTAATAACTGATAGTTAATATCTAACGATTAATAATTATTGATATTTATAATTCATAACATCTAATGTGTTTGACTAAAATTAATAACTGATCGCTGTATTCAAAAGATCAAAACAAAAGCTCCTAAAAGCTTGAAACTTTAAAATTAAATGTCAGAGGTTTCGATGTGGAGAGAGAAATCTAAAAGGGAGAGAGTTGTTCCTACCATATGGTATAATCAGGTGAGTTTCTTGTTTTACAGTCTAAATTGCACTAAACTATAAAATAAGGGCCATTAGATGAAGGGAAGACCCTTAATATCAGGGGGCCATCTCCTATCCAACATCGAGTATTCTACAATTCGACACAGTTTAGACTACAGTTTTTTGTAATCAAATAAACTAAAAAGAAAAAGATGATACCTTCAAGCAGAATACAAGAAGGAAAGGAATCAGACTGCTGAGTGTGTCGTTAGTCGTTACCATGATTTCTTATATACAATGCCAGTAACTAGCTGGAGTTAAACCTCATAGATTTTACTGCAAGTCTCATTCAAGACATGAGCGAGAGGAAGCATTTGATGTATAGATCTTACTTTATCTCTAAGAAAACATGAATCATGTAAATGCCACAAAAAGGCATCCTAGATGAAAGTAAAGTTTTAACAAGTAAAGCTGCTGGAAAATCAAGTTCTTTTCTCTTTGTTTTTTTTTTTTGGCCATCCAGGAAAAGCAAGCTTGATCTCAACATTATACAAGCAATATTATTTGGACTATAGATATTAGCAACAAGAGTACAGCAACCTACCGAGGCAAGAACCCATGTTTAGCAATTACAATCTCAAAGGCTTGCATTCTTTCTCCACTCACAAACCCGTTTCTATCATGAGATGATATTTCCTTTATGCCAAGATCACCACAAGCCTTGACAAGCTCTTCTCCTACACGTTGAGCAACTTCCTAAGAACAGAAGAAAAACAGTTAAGCAGGCACCATTTAGGGATACAAAAAAAGGGGGAAAAAAGTAGTATGTAATAACATCAAAAGAAAATTAGTATCACAAACAAAATATTCTATTAAATTTTACAATTGGTGCAGCACTTACTATGGTAGTATGAGGGGGATTGTTGCAAATAGATTTCTGCAGCGTACTCCCATAAAATAAACACTTCTTGTTCTGGTCATCTACCAACATAGCATACAATTGCTTGTTTGAACAAAAAACTGAAAGCCTTGGTCTTGTAAGAGTGCCATTAAACTGGTTAAAACAATCAAAACATATCATTCTAATGAATTAGCACACAATAATTCATGGATTTATTTAAAAATTTATGAAATAGAGATAAACACTGACCTCGGTTGTCTGAAAAATGGTATAATAGCTAACAACGCTTCCAAATATACAAGTCCTCGTTAGATATGATATTTTGCAGTTTTCTTAACATGAAGAAGCATACCTTCTTTCGCATTCTTCTGTTTCTAATTTTTGCACTTTCTGTTCTAGGCTTTCCCTTTGCTTCAACCACTAGTGGCTTGACATTAACACCTATAGAAAATCACTGGATTTTACATTACAGCCAGAATTCATTTGCATGAAGGGCACAGAATTAGATTCACAATTGCAGTGTCCCAAAAAGTTCCAGACTAAAATGCAGGACATACCACAAATACATAGACTGGTACTCAAGCCTCAGCCAAAAGCAAAAAGGTACTCAGGCAAATCCTAATGAATTGAATGGGATTTTGTTTTGCTTACCCCTGTTTTGCATGGAGAAAAAGTTGATAGCTTTTAAGTTGGAACCAAAAATATCACGGGTCTTGAACTGCAGGGTAGGACTAAGACAATTTTCCAGAGTCATTGTTTGAAGTTCTTGAAGAAAAAATTCTTACATTCCAGTATACTGTCTTACCTGCTAGAAAAAGCAGCTAAAAGGTGTCATGGAAAATACGATAAATCATGACTGAGGAGTTTTAGCACATACAAGTGCAGATTTAATACAAACTTCGGCTGGGAATTTTGACAAACATTTGGTGGTCGTAATGTGTGTGCTTACTTCAATCATTATCCAAGCAGAAATTTCAACTGACAAAAGAAAAATTCAGCAACTACCAAACTATTTCATTCTACACAAAAGAAAAACATACAGATTTCCTTATTTTGTTTGAATCTATGGTTCACTCTATGAACACTGTTGAAATGAAAATGAATAAAGCATAATTTTATAAGAGTTATGATATCATTAAGAATAATAAAGAAATACAGACCCGATGTGAGTGGGCAACAGACTATGATTGGAGAAGCTCCAGTTACGGTAGACAAAGAAATTTATTTTTGAGTTTGGAGAAAAAGAAAAACAGTTTCTGCGAGAATAAAAAAGGAGAAAAAAGGGGTGATTCCAATAACCTTTGCGCTTAGTCGCTCACGCTTATTGACAATTCATTTTTTTGAATTTTTATTTCAAGATACGGGTAGAGGGGCGTCTTGGGGATGTGCTTGCACAGGTCTTTGATAAGAAATACAGACTTGGCAAAATTGTAATTTTAATTTTTAAATATAATATAAAATTAAGTATATAAAATGGTTATTCTTTATTAGATAATAGTAAAATTAACATTAATTTTATATTTTTTTACTAAATAATTAATTAATATTAACTTTTGAAGAATATAAAAAAATTAAAAAATTTTAATTTTAATTTTAATTTTAATTTTAAGTTAAATCTACCTATTTAATTCAATACCTATATAAGTTACGGATTTACTTTATTTAAGTCGAAATCTAAAATGACTTGATCTAATTAATCAAGAACTTGAAATAAACTAATTAAAATTCAATCGACTCAACTTATTTTTTAGGTTTAGAAATACATTTTATATTAAAATAATAAAATCAAAATTACTTATGAATCCTTATATCATGACTTGTATAGCCAAAGTAGAGGCATATTCTACATTATTAAATAGAAATGAAATATGATATGATAGTATAAAAAAGGTTAAACGCCCAATTTTGGTCCCTCAATTTTAAAGTTTTATATAATTTTCATCCCTCAACTTTTTTATGCATTTTTTTGGTCCTTTAACTATGAAAAATGCATTTTTTATAATTATTCTATTAGTTAATTCATTAAGTCTATTTGAATCTACGCATTTTTAGTCCTTCAACTTTAAGTTGATGCACATTTTTCATCCCTTAACTTAACTAAAAATGTGCAAATTTAAATAAACTTAACGGATTAATTGATGGAAAGACTAAAAAAGTATATTTTTCATAATTAATAAATCAAAAAAGTTGAGGAATAAAAATTGTGCAAAAACTTAAAGTTGAAAAACCAAAATTAGCATTTAACCTATAAAAAATGATTGAAGTTGAGGGACTAAAAATATGCAGATTCAAATAAATTTAACGAATTAACTGATAGAAGAATTTAAAAAGTACATTTTTTATAATTAATGAATCAAAAAAACGTACAAAAAAGTTTAGGAATGAAAATAGTGCAAAACCTTAAAGTTGAAGAACCAAAGTTAGCATTTAACCTATAAAAAATTATTTGCACGTAAACATTACAGTAACAATTATCATAGGGATATAAACAAAGTTACTAGAATAGAAAGATAGTCATTATAAATGTCCTAACTTATTAAATGAAGTTACTGTTGACATAATATCTTACAAGGTTAGTGTGTATTAATCCTAATTTTAAAAGAAATTGGAGTCATAGGCTATATTTATAAATTAAAATCACAATTTAAAATGTAAAAATTCAATCAATTCCAAATTTAAATATCAATATTTAATAAAATAATTTTTTAAATTTTAAATTAAATTTTAATTAAATAAAATAACAAATTTTAAGGTTAAGACTTCAATTTTTTTAAAAGTTAAGATTGATATACAATTTTCCCATATTTTATTGTATAAAGAATTTTGTTGAGTTCACAAATGAAGATATTACTAATCATTGTATAAAAAAATTTCCCATAAAAAAGTTGATCTATTATGTGAGTTAAATTATAACAAATTATCATCAAAATCGATGCATATATACCAATTGTAGTGCCCAAGTGCATGTACAGTTGAAAATAGACAATTAAAAAATTGATTTTAGTATTATATTATCATAATTAATATTATTTTATATAAATTTATATTTTTATATATTTAATCTTCAAATAAAATTCTTAATAGGATATCCCTCTCCGTTGGGAGATTGGCCCAACTTTAACAACGAAACCCAAAAGACATACAAAACCCAAAAGTATAAGCACAATAATCATGGTGCACCCATGTGACTAAAGATAGATGTGCCAATGAAGCCACGACACCTGCAAGTATTGTTAAAAGTGGGAGTCTATAAATATCCCCAACTACCTCCATATAAGGTAATAACTCCATTACACTTCTCTCTCTGCAATTACTCCTCTTGAGAGTTTCTCTTACTAGATTACAGAGTATTGCTAACTTGAGCATCAAAGTATCTTCTCCAAGAAAATATCCTCAGGTTTTTCAAATATTAGAGCCATTTGTAATCTCAACAGTGGGAGCTCATGAAGCTGCCCAAACATTGGCACTGTCTGTGGGAATCTGAACAAAGCAGTTATGTTATTTTACCAGTCAAGCTAAAATGGTGCACACTTTTACAGGTTTCTAGCCACCTCAAACAAACCGAGAGGCAATCAAGTTCCTTCCCTAGGAATTGACCCACAAGGGTTTGAACAATTGCTTGACAATTTATTTGTGAGTGAGGAAGAGAAAGTACAAGACAACAACTCTAATGAAGAAAGGACTTTATAAGGTTGTAGCCATTAAGTGACCTGGGTCATACATTTTGGAAGACGTATAAGGTCATCAAATACCATTTACTTGGAATATAAATAATTTAAAGAAATATTATGGTTAGCTTTCATAATCTTTGCGTCCAAATTTATTGTAGTAATAATTCATTGCGACAAGTGGAAATAATAAATTAATGAAAGCTATTTCTTTTCATTTCATATTGCTAATCTTCAAGTACATAAAATTCAAAACAAAAATGAATCCAACATAGCATATTACAAAAAACTAAAAAATCAAAAACAATGTCACTTGCCTTAGTCCTGCTCCTCTATAAGACCTACTGGGGACAAGGGAGCAATAGAAGGTTGCTCTCGGAGCTATGAAAGGTGCATCAGTTGCAGCTGTGGAGGGCTGCTGTTGGGGTGAAGCGACCTCGGTTCCTAAGCATGGCATCTTAGCAACCTAGTTGGCGAAACTTAGAAGAGGCTTATCCCCTTCTTCGACCACAATTGGAAATAGAAGAGTTTTCTCCTCGTTCAATGTGTCGACACCTATTTAAAGGTGTTGACCCCTTATGCGATTTTTAAAAAATTTGTCCCTAATTTATTATTTTGGTGTGGATCCCACTTCTATTTTAATTAGGTTTTATAAAATCTTATAAATACTCATCCAAGTTCAGAATTAAAGAGAGACCTTTGGGAAGCTGGTGGCAGTTCTCTTTTGAATACTCTTAGAAATTAAAATAGAAAATTCATCAATAATAGAAAATCAAATTAGGCACTCTTTTGGGCATTCTTCAAATTGGATTTTGTTTTTCCTTAAATTCTTTTTATCTATTTTTTATATTCAAATTTTCATAACTATAATTTCAGGTTTTATTATTTTTATTATGAACTAATTTATTTTACTAAACTTACAATGTAGTCTAATCAATTTTATATAAATTTTGTGATTTTTATATTTCCAATTAAAATTATTTGCATAATGAGATTATATTACTGAATTTAATGCATTGAAAATTTGATCACCTTTCAATTGATTTAGTAATTTAGGCATGAACTTGAGAAAAAATTATATGAATTAGACTAATAATAATATAAACCATGTGTTAGACTATGAGACGGAAAGGTAATTAACATCACATGTGGTAGTGAAGGAAAAGAGGAGAGTTAAGAACTCCCCCTTCTTAAGTTAGAGGTTTCAATAGAATTTAATACTCACCAATTTGATTAAAATTATATAGAGATATGATTAATTTTATAAGTAGAGGAAGGATTAACTTGACTTGAGAAACTTAGTTAGTTTAGAGAAATCAGCTATCACATCCAATAACACTCAACAAATTAATTTTAAAAGTATATTAATCCAAAATTTATATTTATTGATTATGATAAAATCAATGCTTTAGTACCTCATATCTTGATTAACTTTATTTTAATTATTATTATTTTTTATTATTTTTTAATTAAATTTTTTTTCTTTTCGATTGTTCAAATAAATTTAAATTAATTATTTTGGTACTTAGTTAATCATAATCCTCATGGATTCAATACTCTTCTCATCATTATATTATTTAGAGCAACTAGTGCACTTGCTACAGTGATTTTAGTGCATCGAGTTGAGAAGCTAACACAGTGGTCGGTTCCATCCTTAGCCATGTAGAAATGGGCTCGCTTATAATCTCCCCTTTCTTAGGTGTCCACCTTCAAGATTCATTAGGTTGTGTGTCAAGGTGCCTATCTTCAGCAGTAGGGCTACTATCTTGTTGAGATGAGCTACGAGAAGAATGCTTTGCAAGAGGTTTGTCGAAGTGGCTTGGCCTTTGCGAGCTTGAATAGCTGCATTTTGCCTTTTTGGCTTGCTCTCATTGCCTCTCTAATCCTCCAGCCATTTCTTCTACACAAGTAAAAGCAAATAAGACTTAGCTCGGTTTGAAATGTTAGTGCATTAAAGAATGTACCTAGGGCAAAAAGGTTTGTGATGTCCACAAGCGCAACTGCTACCAGCTGCTCTGGGGTAACCAGGGTGTCCAAATCCATTGTTCCCTCATTTCCCACAAAACACAAAATTCTATTTTTCAACTCTATATCAATGCCTTCAAGTGTGGGGTAGTTCATGTACGTGTTGCCAAAACGCCATTGTGACAATCAAGCAATGAGCTTGTTATAAACTCTCTCAATTCTTATATAACAATAAAAATGAACTGCTTCTTCCAGCTCACTACTTTATTCTTTACATTGTGGAAAATGATCATTTTATCTTGTTTGGAGATATAATACCATTTTGTCTTCTTATTTGGCTGCTTGCACTAAAAAAGGGAATGAAATACCATCAACCTAACAAGTATCTACAGCCTAGCACACAACAACATGAACCCTATTATGAACTTTATTAAATTTGGGGTGAGCTGCGTCAACCCTAACTTGTACTCAACTAGCAAGTCAAAAATCATGCCTGGTAGAGGAAATCGCAGTCCGGTTGCAAAATCATCCACGTACATGGGCATCAAACCATTTACAGCCACTAAGCATGCCCGTTCATTTGTTGAGGCAACCCAGACAAGGATGGTTGAGGGAATCTACTACTCCCTCGCCAATAAATCTAGTTTTTTCAACCCCCTTATTGTGGCCTTATTGTTCATCACTGCATGGTGTAATGCGACTTTAAACTTGAACCCAACCCCCAGATTTAGTAACGTCTCGCGAAGGTTTCGAACAAAATTACTTTTGGGGGCATTATTTCCCATTCTGCCATTGTGGACGTAACCCGCACCAAAGTGCCAATGACCATGGGTTCATCCGCTTCTCGTTCTTCCTCGCTATCCCTTTTGTTAGTTCTTGTTTTGCTAGATGAACCAAGGCTGCTTTCAGGTGACATTGGTGCATCTACGTCCAACCTAACTTGCAACACTAGTGGCACTATCATAGAAAAAGGTTCCATGGAGATTACCCTCTCCTCTGGTTCCCCTTGGTTGCCTCAGAACTCCTATGGTTCCCTAAAGAAATCCATGATTACTTGTATATCTAAATTTGGAAGCAACGATTCACTCCTTTCTCTAATGATGGATCTGCAAACTTTATAGAGAAGGCGAAGCAACAGGAAGGAGAAAAGCAAGAGTGCAAAGGCAAAACTAAAAGGGAAATGTTTGAACTATTAGATACAATGTTCATTTTCCCTCATATTTTACGTCTTTGTCGAATCCTTTACCTACGTCCCCACGCATACCAATGCTAATCACCCATGTGGCAGTCCTTCATAATGGGAAGTTGACGTGATGCAGCCCTAGTTGTCACGTCCTTTAAATGTTGCACTAGCATTTATTAAGAGGCAAGCAGATACAAACCAATTATAAAGCATATCTCCTGAGATCTGCTTTTCAAATTTCAAAATCACATGGTTGAGCCCGCAAATCGAGTACAAAACATATCTCTTGATCTTTGCTTGTCATATTTTGGCATCCATCATGGGTGAGCTCGTCAACCTCACACCCAGTCAACTTCACATCCAACAAATGAAATCTAGAAGTAGTCAACTTGTAAACTAAAGTCCAAAAGCTCAACCAGATGAGTTTCGAGAGAAATATTAGCTCGTGAATAAGAGCTTGTAAGCTTAGCCGACTAAGCCTAGCTCACAAAATCTTAAGAAAAACATTACAAGCAAGCTTATCGCCAAGCCGCGTGCCTTAGTTCGCACTCTACCAGTCAAATCACTTGCAAGCTACCTTATCAAAGCTAATGTTGGGCCAAGGTAAATCACCACAATAGTTTGTAAACCAAACACTAAAGAGGGAGTAATGTTGGGAGACTGACCCAACGTTAACAATGAAGCCCAAAAGATATACAAGAACCAAAAGTACAAGCACAATAATCATGGCACACCCATGTGACTAAAGACATGTGTGCCAATGGAGGCATGACACCTAGCAAATATTGTCAAAAGTGGGGGTCTATAAATATCCTCAACTACCTCCACACAAAGTAATAACTCCACTATAATTTTCTCTTTGCAATTACTTATCTTTAGAGTTTCACTCTCTAAATTATGGAGTATTGCTGATTTAAATATCAGAGTGTTTTCTCCAAAAAATTATCCTCTAGTTTTTCAAATATTGAAATCGTTTGTGATCTCAACAATAAGGGCTTGTAAAGTTGCCCAAACACTCTCCAATACATAGAATTTTTTAAAAAATCATATTATATTATTTTATCTAACTCATATTATATATATTTAAATAAAAACTTAAATTGAAGATAAAAAAAAAAAAAAAAATCTTTGATCCAAGGGCTTACAACCGTTGAACGAAAGAATAAAGTAGTGACTGATGTGATGTCAGGCGCTGCTTCCCCAGCGTTAAAATGCTTTAAAATGTCATTTTAAAGTGAAAAAAACACACACACACACACACAATTTAAAATCCTCTACCGCGGCTATTTAAAAGTTTTGTTACATTTTTGAAAGAGAAGATCGTATAAAGCCTTCGATGTACATACTCCAATACATACTAGGATTGATAACCCTTATAAATGAGACTTGATTCCCTCAACAGTAAATCAAGAAAACGATGATCTTTTGTGGTGTTTAAGGAAATTGTTCTGTCGGATAGGCAAGCCGGTAGTGTCCCCAACTACTCAAACTCCCTGTTAATAGGGAACAACAACTTATCTCTCCGGTGGTGGCGAAATCTTTCATGGGTGATCAGGACCACAGAGAAATTAGAGCAACAAAAAGGCAATTGTTTATTAAAAACCAACTAGATCACAAGGACCAAGAGTCTAATAGCAAGGAGGTTGTGGATATGAGTAAAGGAATGGAGCAGGGCGGCTTATTGGACTAGCAGGCTTTGGCATCTCCTTTAGGGGACATACCTCTTCGGCACCTCGCTAAAATAGCCAAGAGAGGAGACCACGCATCGCGAAAAGCTTGGAAGAGATTTGGGCGAGGTTAGCTAATTTCACCGACCAAGAGAAAAGAGAGGAAAGGGGAGAGGAAGTCGGCCCTAACTAAACTTGCAGATGACAGGGCCACCGAGGTGAGGCTGGATGGCTCAGGCAATGTTATAGCAACGCAGACAGATGTTATGGCAAAGCAAATACAAAGCCCTATAGTAATTTTTTTCTGTCTTTCTATTATTTTATTGATATTTTTATGACAAATACTGATATTTAAAAATTTTTATACTTAATTATCTTATTTGAAAAAGTAATAATTCTTTATATTAATATCATAGGTCTTTTTTAATGTATTTATCTTTCTTATACAATTTATATGTAATTGTATAATAAGTTATAATTTGCATTACAATTAATCTAATTTTTTTGTTAAAAAAAAGAAAAAAAAAAAGAAAACAATTAACTTACACTCGTCAACTGTAGTTATAACAATACAAAATTTTGTTAAAGTCAAACAATTCATAATATAAATTTTGTTAAAACTACATAATTTGTAATGTTTGTATTTAATTTAATAGTTATTCTATCTCTTTACAAGTTTTTGTTCTTAAATAACTAATTATAATATAAAAATATAAAATTAGTACTTATCAGTTTTGATTGTAAAAAATAATTAAAATTTTAATTTATATCTAAAAATTAAAATCTTATCTTATTAAATATTAATATATAAATTTGAAAACTCATTATATATTTTAATATATTAATAT